TGCAGGGGGCGCCGCGGGGTCCCGGGGACGCGGGGCCGGGCCTCGGGCGCGGGGCGGGGCGCTGCCGCTCGGGATCGTCAGTATACTGCCGCTGTCACCGCTCGGTTCCTCCCCAGGAAGTAGCGCGGCGAGCGGGCGGGGACGCGCGGCCCCGCGAGCGCGTGCAGTGGCTGCGCCTGCTGCTGGGCCCGCGAGGGAAACGCCGCGCTCCCGACGCGGACGCGCTCCGGAGTCTACGTGGTAGGAGTTGGAGCAAATCCTGTAACGTGGACGACGTGGCTTTGCTCGTTGTAGGACAGATTGTTATTGGTATTCAGCGTTGAAACCGGGAGCCCCAAACAGACGAATGGCAGGTTGGTTCAGTGAAGTAATTGAGTATAATAATTGATTACATGTTGGACAGGTGCATCAGTTCAGGGTACTATTTTTCTATTCAGTTATCAGATGAAACTGGAAAGACCTGAGTGAGGGGAAATTCGGAAAGGATTCTACAAAATGCCTACACTTAGCACCAGTCAACGTACAAGGCGAACTTACGTGAAAGCTTTGTAAAATACCGTGGCACTGGGCCAGGGATATAGCTCGGTGGCATAGGCACCAGCCTGGCAAAGTGCGAAGTTCCGAGTTCAATCCCCAGTACCAAAAAACAAAACAACAACAACAACAAAAAAAACCCGAAAACAACTGTTAGTCAAGCATCAGAGAAACACAGTTAGGTGGGGCAATTTTACATTGTGTTAATAGACTTGGTGAAAACTTGGAGGCCTTTATATTTGTTCTGTGCTAGTGGTGTTTTACCAAAAGGACCAACAAGTTCTTGATAGGTTGATTTTGCACAACCAGTAATGAAAATGTGTGTTTGTAATTGCATTAACTGAACAGAGAAAAGCTAGGAAAAGTCGCAGCCCTGTGGAGTAGGGGGTAAGAGAGTAGGCTCACAGCTGGTAGCCTCTTCCAATTCTGGTTCTGCCATTCACCACAAGACATTGGACCTCTTTGGGCTTTAGTTTCCTTATCTGTACAAAGAGGAGCGTAGCACTGCTGGAGGTGGTTGTGAGAATTGTTTAATAAGTGTAATAAATAATAAATCGCATTAATAAATGCAATTTTAACAGTGCCTAGTCCACGGAGGAGATATTAGAGAATTTATTCTCCTTGTTAGTATTCAACAAAACAATATGGTTAGAAATCAAGGTTTAAGGAGGAGACCAGCTAGTCTTACCCCCCTATTTTGTTTCATCTATTCCTGCTGTACTGAATGGCAGGGAAAATTGACCTACATTTTGGGAAGCCTGACCTCTGGGACGCTGGGAGCATCCTCTGTCATTTGCTAAACATTAAAATGTGTTCCTCTCCAAATTCTGGCTCCTTCTTCCTGCTTCTACCCAGAATACATAATGTTTATAATTATTATTCACACAGTTTGAGATAGTTAGTCATATTATTTACCATAATTATATTGCTGGCCTAATTGTCATGCATTCGTGTGGCACTTTGTATTTTCCTAGTGCCTTGCAGACAGTACTTCTATAAGGTCTCCTTAAAATAGGCTCGCGTTGTTTGCCTTTGAAGCCTGTCATTGTATACTTATTTTAAACATACTCTAGTCTATGTTTTGCTCTAGGTTAATATCAATACTAGGGTAAGGATTCATCTCCCGCATCCCTAATTTCCAGGGTGTGCAAACTGGATTAGGATTGTAACTGAGCAGGTTTTCCTGTTTCTTATTCTCAGCCTAGGATGCCTGGCCAGCCCCCACACATCACCATCAACCAAACATGCAGGTATGGTCCCGCTTACCTCAGCAAACTGTGACTTGAGGAAACACAAGGGAGGTTTTCCTCAGCCTCCAAAGCACACAGCAGTAGGTTTGTTTTTCTGAAATGTCTCAAGTACAACTTCATTTCTTTCTTCCTTTAATACTAAGTCAGTTAAATTTTGTCTTTTTTTTTTTCTTTCTTTCTTTTTTTTGCAGAACCGGGGATTGAACTCAGGCCCTTGCACTTGCCAGGGAAGTGCTTATTCTACTGAACCATCTCCTCAGCCCCCTTTTCGTCCTATTTTAAAAAAAATACCTCAGGCTGAATTAATTTGTTAAACTTGTTTCCAGAATTAAGTAAGATTAGGGCTGGGGAGATAGCTTGGTGGTCTAAGTGCCTGCCTGGTAAGACAGAGACCCAGGTTTGATTCCCTGTAGTGCATGCTGTGCTGGCCCTGGAACCTGGGTGGGCCCTGCCGGCCACTGAAACTGGGGATGGTGGCCCACACCTGTAGTCCCACCTCAGGAGGCTGACACAGGAGGATCACTACAAGTTTGAGCTGTGTAGTGAAACTATGCCAAATAAAGAAATAAATAAGAGATTTTTATTTATTTTTTCCAAAGTTTTATTGATAAACATATAGCAATGAGACAGTTTCAAATCAAATCGAGAGTACAGTTTCAACAAATAATACACTGCATATATTCTTCTCAGTGGTTAATTGCTGTACAAGATGCAGACTTGTGATCCTACTTACAAACACCATTAGAAAAAATCATTCTATTCATTAAGAGAATGCAACT